GCCCTTATTCTCCCCCTCAGTGGGAGGAGTGAGTCTGGGTGGGGCTGGGTTGGACAAGCCTGCCCTCAGGCTCCACCACTGCTGTTAGCAGGGATCAACTTCTGCTCTGATTCTGTGCAGAGCTGCCGGGCGGGGCTGAAACGGCTCCACTCAGCTGAAAGTCTGGGCTTGGGGGCTGTGGCTGCCCGAGGCCCGCACTCTGGAGCAGGTCTCGCTCGTCTCCACTCTCCCCAACTCCGTGGCCTCTCCCAGGCCTCTGTCAGCAAGCAGGACCTCAGGCCGATGGATCCCCCCTGGCTGTGACGCGGGCTGGGAGGTTCTGCACCCAGGATCGTAGCCCGAGCTGGGTGCACAGCCCTCCTCTAGGAGGAGGGCCGCCAGTCAGGCACGCTGATCTGCCCCTGAAGGCACACACTCCTCAGTAGGCTCCTTCACAGATCCCTCCTGCGTGCCCCAGGGCAGCGAGATCGCCACAGGGCAGCGAGATCGCCACCCGGGTGCACGGGGTCTGGTCTACAGGCCTGACCCCTGGACCCTGGAGATCAATCCCTGACCCTGCCAGGGGGAGAGGCGCTGGTCCCGAATCACCTACAGGGCGCCCAAGCTGGATCGATTTCACTCCATCTCGGGATTTGCCCCACTCTCCTGGAGTCCCCAGGCAAGTAGCACCTGGGAGGTCTGGCGGGTAGGAAACTCGCAGTCTGAGTACCCCTCAGTCTGTTGTAGGGCCCCAAAAGGAAAGGTCCCGTTCCTTGGAGATGCCTCCCTGTGACGGCTAAATTGTCTTTCTGGGCATGGACAGGTAGGGAGGGGGAAGGAGAGAATGGAGTACTATGGCGTCTGCCGATAGGCTCGGGTCTGCGCCCAGGAAGGTGCCCCGATGGGGCTGGGAGCCCGGCGCTGAGTCCGCAAGAGGCCACTGCTCACTGCCGGGAGCCATCTCTGGGCTGGTGTCGGCAGGTTTCTCCAGCCGCTCAGGAGCCACCAGCAGTCCGAGATGCAAGGGAGGGGGAAGTTAACCGCTCCACCTACCCGTCGCCGGTCTCCAAGCCTCTCGGGACCTTTCTCCTTCCAGTTCTCCTCCACAACGTCTTCCCGTGGAGTCTCCTGTAGTTTCTGGCACCCTTCCTTCTGACCCTCACCTGATCTATGTTTCTCTGCTCGCTTATTTTTTGTTTCTCTTTCTTCTAAAATTCGTCCTTTTTGCAGAGACCTTCTGACTGGAGGCTTGTCTCATCCCGTCATCTTGGCTTCTCCCTATACACAGTTTTTTGAGAGTTTTTATCATGAAGGGATGTTGGATTTTATCAAATGCTTTTTCAGCATCAGTTTAAATGATCATATGGTTTTTGTCCTTTGTTCTGTTGATATGATGTATCACATTGATTGTTTTGCATATGTCGAACCATCCTTGCATTTCTGGGATGAATCACACTTGATCATGATAATATTTTTAATGTGTTGTTGAATTCAGTTTGCTAGTATTTTGTTGAGGATTTTTGCATCTATGTTCCTCAGAGATATTGGCCTACAGTTTTCTTTTTTTGTTGTGTCTTTGTCTGGTTTTGGTATCAGGGTATTGCAGGCCTCATAGAAAGAGTTTGGGAGTCTTCCTTGGTCCTTGATTTTTTGGAATAGTTTAACTACAATTGGTATTATTTCTTCTTTGAATTCTTGGTAGAATTTAAAAGTGAAGCCATTAGGTCCTGGGCTTTTCATTAATGGGAGACTTTTTATTACTGCTTCTATCTTGTTACTTGCTATTGGTTTATTCTGGTTTTGGATTTCTTCCTGGTTCAATTTTGGTAGGTTGCATGTGTCTAGGAGTCTATCCATTTCTTCAAGATTTTCTAATTTATTGGCATATAATTACTTATAGTATTTTCTAATGATCCTTTGGATTTCTGCAGTTACCAGTTGTAATGTGTCCTTTTTCATCTCTGATCTGAGTGTTCTCTCTTTTTTCGTGGTCTGGCTAAAGGTGTGTCAATTATGTTTATCTTTTTAAAAACCAACTTTTTGTTTTGTTCATCTTTTGTATATTTTGGTTTCTTCTCTGATCTTTATTATTTCTTTTCTTCTACTAATTTTGGATTTGGTATGATCTTGTTTTTCTAGTTCTTTAAGATACATTGTTAGGTGGTTTATTAGAAGTTTTCTACTTTTTTGATGTAGGCATTTATTGCTATAAACTTTTCTCATAGTACTGCTTTTACTGTATTCCATAAGTTTTTATATGTTGTGTTTTCAATTTTATTTGTTTTGAGAAATTTTTAAATTTCCTTCTTAATCTCTTCATTGACCCACTGGTAATTCAAGAGCATATGGTTTCATTTCCATGTGTTTGTATAGTTTCCAATGTTCCTCTTGTTATTGACTTCTAGTTTTTATTCCATTGTGGTCAGAGAAAATAGTTGATATGATTTCAATTTTTTTTTTAATTTTTAAGACTTGTTTTGTGGCTTAACATATGGTCTATCCTTGAGAATGATCCATGAGTTAAGGAGAACTTGTATTCTACAGCTGTTGGAGGAAATATTCTGTAAATATCTATTAGGTCCTTTTGGTCTATAGCACAGAGTAAGTCCAATATTTCTTTGTTGATTTTCTGTCTGGATGATCTGTCCAATGCTGAAAGTGGCATGTTGACATCTTCCATGAGTATTGTATTGCGGTGTATCTCTCTCTCTAGCTTTATATATCCTGGTGCTCCAGTGTTGAGTGCATATATTTAGAACTTTTATCCTCTTGCTGAATAGACTTTTTGTCTCTTTTCACAGTTTTTGTCTTAAAAACTGTATTTTATCTGACAGAAATATAGCTCTCCTGCTCTTTTATGGTTTCCATTTGCATGGAACACCTTTTCCCATCCCTTTATTTTCAGTCTATGTGTGTCTTTATAGGGAAGTTGGTTTCCTGTAGACAATGGGGGGGGTCTTTTTTTTTTCCAATCCATTCAGCCGCTCTAGGTCTTTTGATTGGAGTTCAAGGTTGCAGTGGGCCATGATAGCACCACTGCACTCTAGCCAGGGTGACAAAGGAAGATCCTGTCTCACACACATATACAAAAATAATAATTTAGATTTAAAGACATAAATAAGTAGAAAGTAAAAGGATGCAAAGAGATATATCATGCAAGCAGTAATCAAAAGAAACCTAGAGTGGCTATACTAATATCAGGCAAAACAGACTTTAAGAAAAAAGCACATATAAAATACAAACTTGTTTCAGAACTTTGTCAAAGGTTTTGTGAAATTTAATTATTTTTTCTTTATCCATATGTTTGCTCCTACAAATTCTAAGAATAAATGCGGTTTTATTGACCCTTACACAAAACACATTAACTTCTGTTAAATTACGCTTCCTTACAAATTTCTATCTCAGGCTCCATTTTACAGAACAGTATTCTGCTCTTTTACATTTTACCAAAAGCAACACCTTTAGTTATTTGCAGATATTGTTAGAGAAAAAACACACAGAATTCAAGAAAGCTCATAATATTTCTCAAAGAACTTCTGATCTTTGAGATCAAATGATCTGTTTCTTGTTAAGAGAGATATTAGAATTTCATTAGGAACAAAATGATTTCCTCTTCCAAGATCCTTAAACCCCATACTAAGCATAGGACTTGTTTCATGGAATACAATGTTTCCATGGACAGGGTTGGGGGTGGGGCGGGGCAGAGAGGTGTGCCAGTCCACAGCACAGAGCTTGGGGACCACAGCCTTAAGAGACAGAGAAGTCTCTATAGAAACCAAGCGAGTTATAGGTAGGACAGCTAATAAGTTTCAAGGTGAGACTCTTCTGATTTGAAGTCCATTGCTTTTTCCACAATCCAACAATGCAACTAGAGACATAACTGTAGGATATGTTTATGTTATTACAGTTCCTTTCTAACTTACAAAGCAATAATGATAAGAAGTGCAGGAAAACAATGTTCAGGTGGCTGAATCAGAGGATCTTTAACAGTATGAAACTATGGTGGGAAAGAATCTATTTACTCATCTTAACTGCTACTTCTAAATACCTCTAAAACTTAGTTCAGTCCCCAGAGGTGTTTTTTTTTTTTCTAGAAGGTGAAAGAAACAAAAGGGGTAGAGGATGACTAAGGCAGTAGATAGACAGTTTTAATTTTTGTTTGAGGCCCTTTTTTTGATAATTTTTTTAAGTTTCAAAACTTATTTCTTGATTTGTGCTTTTTGGTATAATATTTTAACCTATTCTAAACATAAAAGCAAACTGCATCAGGTAATGGTGAGTCAACATACTTACATTCTTACTGAAGTCATTTTCAGTATGGTAAAGAGAACTTAGACCACCTGATGGGTTCTAAATAATTTGGAAGGAAATTGTGAATTCATACATTAAATGCTTTTAAAAACACATGATCTCGTATCAATTTTTCATCTTTCAGAGGTTAGTTTCTCTCTCTCTCTCTCTCTCTCTCTCTCTTTTTAAGAGATGGGGTCTCATTCTGTTGCCCAGGTTGGAGTGCAGTGGTGCAATCACAGCTCATTGCAACCTTAAACTCCTGAGCTTAAGCAATACTCCTGCCTCAGCCTCCAAGTAGCTGAGGACTACAGGCAAGCGTGACCACACCCAGCTAATTTTTTTATTTTTTGTACAGTTTCTCACTATGTTGCCCAGGCTGATCTCGAACTCCTGACCCTAAGCAATCCTCAGGCCCCCTGCAAAGTGCTGGAAGTACAGGCATGAGACACGGCACCCAGCCAATTTCTCCTTTTTAGCTAAAGTTAGAGGCAGGCAATAAAAGGATTTTTTTAAAAAAGGGAAAAATATCTTTAATAAATCTCAAATAAAATTCCGTGATATATGATAAATTCCAGCATATTATCAACACAAAGTAATTCTACCTTATTGCTTTTTAAAAAAAAGCATTATATGTTATATAAAGAAGTTTCCCAATTTAAATTGATTCCTACTTTTTTATATTCAAATTATTTTTATATTTACTTAAATGTTTTTTCAGATTAACTTACCATTCTTTAACAGTTACTTCTCTAATCCCTTCTCCAATGTCTGACAGTTTGAACTGAACAACTTGTCCATGTAAAGCTTCAAAGAGAAAGAGAAATGATCTCATTAAAAATGTAATATATTACCAATAAATGCTTTTACATCAAAAATTAGAAAATGTTCTCAAAGGCAAAAGAAATTGTTCCATCTTACAGACAGAAAAACAGCATTATATTTTTAAAAGCGTAACCATTATTCATAACCACCAAAGGTTTAAATAAATTATTCTACAGACCTACTGACACTGCCACAGAATTTACATTTTCCAACTTCCAAAATAATGCCTTTTACATGGCAATAAAAAGCCCTACTAACAAATTAATTGAGACTTTGAAACAATAATAAGGAACAGAAAATGAAACAAAGATATCATACAAAGAGAGACCCAGCTGGATCTTTGTTTTATGTTATGAAACTATAATAACCATAAACAGACTGCCCTCAGATCTCTTTTGACTTCATGTAACTATTATCATTCTTAGTGGCTAAAAATCAGGCACTTCTATATTTAAAAGATTTGATGGAAAATTCTTATTTGCCCAAACTATGTTTTGCCAACTTATCCCTAGTCTTCTCTTTCCTCTTTCCATTTTCTGCCCCTTTTCAAATTTCTAACCCACCCCTCCGTCACTCCTTTTTACAGAGACAAGGTCTCACTATGTTGGCCAGGCTGGAGTACAGTGGCTGTTCACAGGCACAACAATAGTGCGCTGCAGCCTCGTACTCCTGAGACTCCTGCCTTAGTTTCCTGAGCAGCTGAGACTATAGGTGTGTGCCACCATGCTCAGCTTCTATTCCCCTTTCACGACACTTTGATGATAATGATACTGGATGGCAATTATTTCTATAAGAGAAAGTATTTCTGGTCAATAGAGTGCACTTACGGACCCTTTCACTTTTCCAGGTTAATAAATTACTCTGAGCCTTTTCAGGAGTGCTCCTCCATCTTTAAACAGCTTAAGGTTATAAAATTTTCTTTAAAAAATATGAAGAGTTTAAGTAAGTAGTAAAGAAATACAAAATACATTTTGGATACAGAGTTATTAGGTGCCTCTTATTTCCGCTCTAGTAAGTTGGGCCCTCTCACAGCCTGCTGCTCAGAGTGTAAACTGGCACCTTTCTGAAAAGCAGTTTGGCATTAAGTATCAAAAGCCTTAAAAAAATTTTTTTTTAAGTCATTATCTTTGACAATAAGTAATTCCACTTGGCTTGAGAATGGATACTGGTCAGGCATGGTGGCTCATGCCTGTAATCCCAGCACTTTGGGAGGCCAAGGCAGGAAGATTGCTTGGGGCCAGGAGTTTGAGACCAGCCTGGGCAACATACTGAGACTCTATGTCTACAAAAAATTTTAAAAATTAGCGGGGCATGGTGGAGCATGCCTCTAGTCCCAGTTACTTGGGAGGCTGGGGCAGTAGGATTGCTTGAGCCCAGGAGTTCGAGAATGCAGTGAGTTATGATGGTGCCACTGTACTCCAACCTGGCCAACAAAGCAAGACTCTGTCTCCCAAACAAAGAAAAGAAAACGTGATAGTGCCCAGCATGGTTAAAGAATGACAAACATTTCTGAATGGCTAAAGATAGGGTTTTTTGGCAAATTAGCCCAGATTTAAAAAGGCTTTGTATGCCATTCTTAAGGATTTGGACTTTATCCTAAAGGTGATGAGGAGCCAGTGGTAAATTAATATGGCCATAAATTCTTTGCAGCTGCTGCCGTCAAGAAATAGAGGCTATTTTACAACTTCTTAAAGCTATCCTGGCCTGTGACTTGCTTTGACTGATAGAATATGGCAGAAGTGAAGCTGTGCAAATTCAGCTTCTACCTTCTCCCTCTTGGAATGCTACCCTAAGATCCCCAAGTAAGGAAGCTGATTTAGTCTATTGGAGGGTGAGAGGCCATGTGGAGGAAAACTGAGATGCCCCAGCCAAAAACCAGCACCAACTGTCACACCTATGAGTGAGACCATCCTGGACCTTCCAGCCCAGAAGTTCCTCTAGCTGAATACAGCCATGTTCATGAGCCCAGGTGAAACCTGAAGAGGAACCAGGATTGATTATAACTTGAAAAATAGTCAATCATTGTTGCTTTAAGCCACTAAGTTGTGGGGATAGTTTGTTATTTAGCAATAATTAACTGATACAAAGTCCTATCCACAATACCAGATCTGTGACTTTAGGTCTATAATTTCAGAAAAAAATCTCTCTGGCAGGTGGATGAATTTGGGGAAGGGATGGCAAGGCAGGGAAAGCAGGAGGTTACTGTGGGCAAGAAATTAAGTATGGGATTTATATGTTTATAAATTTTTCAAAGCTGAAAAGGAGAAGACAGTTAAGAAACATATCAGATGTAAAATTGATAGGTTTCGGTAATCAATCTGATGTAAGACAAAAGTCAGGATGACTTCAAGTTTCTAGCTTAACTATTTACTGAGTTAGGGAATATAGGAAGGAGAGGTTTGTAGAAGATTGAGTTTGGGGAGTTTGAATTATAGAATTATATGTGGGAACACAGGCATGTGCCACCACACCCAGCTAATTTTTTCTATTTTTAGTAGAGATGATGTCTTGCTCTTACTCAGGCTAGTCTCAAATTCCTGAGCTCAAGTGATCCTCCTGCTTCGGCCTCTCAGAGTGGTAGGATTACAAGCGTGAGCCACGGCACCCAGCCTGCACATTCTAATTTATTTAATCCACCCAAGTATAAAGGAAATAGGAGTTCCCACTTGAATGGCCTCTATTTTTTCTGGGAAATAACAAAAGAAGACCAACTTTAAAGAATAGAAATTTAAAAAAAGAGGTGAAGACAAGGTTTACATATCTTAGGCTGTTGTGGAAGCTGACATACAGAAAGTATGGAAGACTAACTGAACTCAAAGGTGAGGACTGCCTGGAATTCTCCTATTTTTCATTGTCAGCACAGACTAAGACTTTTGAGGGAAAAGTAAGTAAATGGTAAAAGCCAGGGAACTTTCTAGTTAGAAGCACATCAGGCTGGTTTCATCACACCACCTTAACATGATTGAGTGTATCACCCAACAATACTACAGTGAGTATAAGGACACAAAGATACTTCTATTAAATCAACAATTTCCCTTGACTGAAGAGTCATATCAGTGCTGACTATTGCTCTCAGATGAACAGTCTAAAGAATAGATGACCTAGCACAAACCATCCCCAACATTATGGAGACACAGTATTAAGGAAAGTATGTGAAAGGCGGGGTGGGAAAAAAGAAGATGGGAAATGCACAGATGTGGGGAGGGTCACGCTAGAGATACAAGGTCAACTTTGTTTTTTACTTTAAAGTCTTCAATCAGGCAGTTCTGCCCGTGGACTGGCCAGGAGCGGATGCACTCCAAAAAAATTTAAAAAAAAAAAAAGTCTTCAATCAATTACTGAAAAAAAATTACTGAATAAAATACAAAACATTATCTTATATATGCTATTTTGAGATCATACTTACCAGCAGTTGTTTTCAACAAGTGATGTGGATGGCTATACTTGAATGAAGGATAACCGAAGAAACACACATAATTTGGCTTCAAAACATGAACATTACTACATGTTTGAAAATATTGAACACAAATCTACAGATGAGAAAAAAGTAAAAGCATTTATAAATGGTCTTAATAACTTATCTCTTTAAGTTGAATTTCAATTCTATTCTAAAAGCAGAATAATCAGTATTACAAGATAAATCTGAAATTACCTAGGCAGAAGCCAGAGTATTTGGCTACAGTGACAATCGAGTTGATGAAGACTGGTTATTTTCTTAATTATTTTTGTCTAAGCAATTGAAGGAACTCAAACTCTAGCACACAGAAAACATTTTGTTGTTCTTTTGTTTAGTAATATTATATTCGTAGGTTTAGAGTTATCAATAGGATTATAATCCTTGTCTAAAATTCCTTCTGAAAGGAAGGAAATTTTAACAATGTATTCTGTATAAATACATCAGCTTGTAGATATACTTAAGTCATTAGACTTCCTGAAATAAAACCACTACAGTATTCTAAAGTAATAGTCAGCATATAAAGACACCGAAAAAATGCATGAAGTACCTGAGTGTATATCTTTGAAATTTTTTAATATATGTAGAAGATAATCATTTTTAATTTTTTTAAAAAAATTACATCATGTACATTAGTGTGATTAGTTCTTAAAACGTAAAAGTTATGTTATAATACACATTATATCATATATGGTAGTCATGTTTTAATACATATCTATAGACAAAAATTTTGTTATTTTTTTCTGATAGCAAATAATATAAAATAAAATTTGGTTTACTGACAGGAACAATACATTTAAATTCTTAAGTGATTTTTCACTTTAATTTCCAAACTGTTACTGATTTCTGAAGGCAAACAAAAACTGAAGATCCCTTTGCTAAAATATGAATAATCTTAAATCATGCATCTTAGCTATACTTTAAAGAGATTATCCTAGGCTGTGCACAGTGGCTCACTCCTGTAATCCTAGTACTTTGGGAGGCCAGGATGGGAGGATGGCTTGAGCCCAGGAGTTCGAGACCAGCCTGGGCAATAGCGAGACCCCTGTCTCTACAAAAAATAAACAAAAAAATTAAGCTTGGCCTTGCATAGTAAGTATAAAAAATAAAAGAGTAGAAGTGCACTTTTAAGGCAGAGGAAATAGCATATATAAAGGGTCTGCAGCAGGAATTTGCTTGACATATCTTCTGGGACAGTGAGCAGGTTGATTTGGCTTGGTCAAATGTGTAAAAAAGAGCAGTAGAAATAGCTCAAGGACAAAATTGCTGATGATTATAATGTCAGGATAAGGAGTTTGAACTCATACATTCTGGGTTATTGAAGAAAAAGGATTAGAAAATTAATCCAGTAGTAGTTTATTGAATAGATTACAAGCAAAGTCTGGAAAGGAAAGAAGTCAAGAAACTATTATAGTCATTCCCCCTCACCCCCCGTACCTGCAGGTGATATGTTCAAAGATCCCCAGTAGATGCCTGAAACATCAGATAGTACTGAACCCTATATATACCATGTTTTTTCCTATACATACATACCTATGATAAAGTTTGATTTATAAATTAGGCACAGTTAGATTAACAATAACTAATAATAAAATATTAATAGAACAATTATAACAATATACTGTAATAAAAGGTATGTGAATGTGGTCTCTCTCTCGAAATATCTTATTGTACTGTATTCACCTATTTTCAGACTGTGGCTGACCACGGGTGACTGGGACCATGGATGGGGGGGATACTGTACAGTAAGTGAGACACAAAACAACCGGCTCCTGACTGAGGTATTTAACAGCAGAAAAAGAAAAAAGCAGCCAAAGTACAATAGGTATTATGTGATTAAGAGTGACTGAACAGCCGTGAAGCGGCTAAAACATTGTGAAACTGCTGAATAGATGGATTAAAAAGAAATGGAAAGGAGAAAAAAATAATTTTTCAAGCTAGAATTCAAAAATAATTTTCTAGGAACAGACTAGGAAATTAGCATAAAGCTTTAAACTTCTAATTGTAAAGGCATGCTTATAGAATTACCAGTTTTATATATTTTATAGTTGAGGCAATTCTGAATTCACCCGTGAACAATATTTAAAGACATCTAATTCTATGGGGACTATTTGTGTCAATTTGCCTAAGGTGATCCCAAGTTACCCGTAGTTACTTAAGGTAACTATTAATAACACCACTTTCACTCTCAAATATATCCGGTTTGGACAATTATACATATGGTCTAACTATTAACTCAATTATTTGACTAAAATAAGTCTTTCCTTGATTTTTTTTTTTTTTGAGACAGAGTCTCACTGTGTTGCCCAGGCTAGAGTGCCGTGGCGTCAGCCTAGCTCGCAGCAACCTCACACTCCTGGGCTCAAGCGATCCTCCTGCCTCAGCCTCCCGAGTAGCTGGGACTACAGGCATGCGCCACCATGCCCGGCTAATTTTTTCTAATTTTTTTAGTTGTCCAATTAATTTCTTTCTATTTTTAGTAGAGACGGGGTCTCGCTCTTGCTCAGGCTGGTCTCGAACTCCTGAGCTCAAATGATCCGCCCGCCTTGGCCTCCCAGAGTGCTAGGATTACAGGTGTGAGCCACCACGCCCAGCCTTTCCTTGATTTTTAAACATAATTCAATAACTACAACCAGAGCACTAAAACACAAAGGGAGAGCAAATGGTTTAGCAGATTAGCATAATAAGGAAAAAAATAATTCAACAGGAAGTTGTTGAGTACTTAAGTCAGACATTGTGCTGGACTCAGAAATTCAAAGCTAAATAAGATGTAGAATATTACTACATTCAAGGTTCTAAATTTAAACTGCTTATGCTTTACTACAGGAGGACAGACACAACAGAAAAATGCAGTATGACATGGTTAAGTCAATCAAGAGTCAAATGTATGATGTCCTAGGGAAGTGTAAACACAACGTAAGGTCATCTAAATAATTTACTATAGGTGGTAAGAGCTCTTCTTGGGGAAACTTTTTATAAAAGATGAAAAAACAGACTGTTTCTCATTGAGTCATTCAACAAATATATATGAGTACCTACAATGTGCCAGGCACTTGGGATTACATAAAGAACAAAATAGATGCAATTCTTTCTCTTACGGAATGTAGAGTCCACTGAAAGATAAGGACAAGTAAACAGGTGATTATATAACATAGTGCTGTAATGGGGGAAGTACATAGAGTGTGTTAAGGGAACCCAAAGGAAGGGAAAGATTAGGACAAGTAAACAGGTGATTATAACACAGTTCTGTAATGGGGGAAGTAGATAGAGTGTGTTAAGGGAATCCAAAGGAAGGGAACCTTCCTGGAGAAAGTTATGTCGAAGTGAGTAAGACCTGTGATACGAGTAGGAGTAATCCAGGAGATGAGGTGTGTTGCCCATAAGGCCATAGGGGAGTGAGGCAAGAATCTTTAAAGCAGAGGAAATACATGTGCAAAGGTCTGGAGTTGAGAGAGAGCACAACGTGTGTTCAATTAAGTCAAGTTGTTCAATAGAGTTCTAGTGTGGTTTAGTGTGGAGCAAGGGTGGGAGGTGTCAGAGTTGGGGTTAGCATGGGTGGGTTTTAGTAAGAAATGAAGCCTGAGAGGTTAGAACAGTTCAGAATATAAATTGCCTCATAGTTATGTGAATTTTGGACATTTTGCTGAGGGAAGTTTTAAGCAAGAAAATGACATTATCAAATGTGTCTTATCTTATTATATTACCCTGGCTACACTATGTACAATGGGTTGGAAAGGCACAGGATTGGAGGCACAAAGTGCAATTAGGAAGGACCAGGACACACACAGTTGAGGACAGGATGTAAAAATAGTGACCAGATTTCTTCAGAGGCAGTTACAGGCTAGAATCAAGAGAAACAGGTTTGAGGGTTCAGTTCTGGACCCTAGAGAGTCTAACGTGCTTTGAGGCATTATGGCAGACACCTGCAGTGGCCATGTAACACAGTTGTAGCCAGTGAGTCTGGCTGGTTCCACCCCTCCTCCTTCCTGCCTTGAACATGGACTAAGAAGTTGTAGCAGCCCTTTTGTGACCAGGAGGGAAAGGTCAAATGAGCTGCCAGGAAAATGACAACATTGATAATGATGAGCCACTTAATTGATGTCAGCTGCCAATGTTCTGCATGCATAAATACTTCATTTCCTATTTATTGGTTGGGTTTTTATTACTTGCAGCTGAAAAACACCTCATATACATAAAACTGGAGATTTCCAGGACAGTAGAATATATGGGTCTGGAGTAGACCTGGTTGGGAACTTTAGTTACCAGCATAGTTGGTAACTAAATCCAAAAAGTGGACGAGGTAACCCAGGAAGTGGGAAAAGTGCAGAGGGCCAAAGTCAGAGTCCTTAGAAACAGCAACATTTAAAAGTGGGGTAGGGAAAAAAGCTATTGGGACGAAGTGGCCAAAGATGTAGGAAGAAAAATATTGGGAAGCTGGTATCACAAAAGGCAAGAATGGAGAGCTCTCAAAAGAAGAGGCCAATACCTGGTAAGGTGCAGCTGAGAAAAGCCCTCTTCTGGTTACCTCCTACTTATCCTTCACAAATCTCAGGTTATACAGTATCCTCTGGGCACTCCTCTCTGACCCCAAAAGCCCACCATAGGTGTCCACTCCTATGTATTCCTGTAGCTCTAGACACTTGTCCTATCATAGCACTTATGCTGGGTTGTAATTGCTTAGTATCTATCTCTGTCTCCCTCTTCCCTGTCCTCCACCACAAGGTTGTAATCTCAGAGGGAAGGGATGGTGTTTGTCTGTTTCACATTTGCATCCTCAGTGCCTAACATAGTACTTGGTACACAGCAGGCTCTTGAAAGGTTTTGTAAGATCAGGGGTCCACCAAGGCAGGAACATGTAGGGAAAGGAGGGGTGGGGTGGGGGGTATAGGAAGAAAAACTCTAAGCAAACAAGATGAAACAGTATCATTACCCGGACGTGTCAGTGCTTGGTGCTGAAAAGACTGTGAGAAAGAGGGGGAAGTGCAGGGAAGATGGTGGTGAGTCATAGCTTTGGTGATAAAAGGGATGGAACACGTGGTGCAAACAGAGAGAAATAGAGGCCAAAAGACTAAAAAGCATCTCAGTTCCAAAGAGGCAAGAACTCACGGCGATATTCTTGGGCTGAACGGTCTCTGCTTCTAGACTGTAAATTCCCTGTGGGTAGCGGTCCTCTTTATTACCATGTCTGCCACACCGTGGGTGCTCAATAAATGCCGACTGAATATACCTCTGTATCCCGCGCGCCTATCACAACGCCCGGCACCTAGAAGGTGCTCGATGAAAAGGCTTGCAGGCGAGAGGCTAGCTGGGCTTCAGGTGCAGAAGGCGCAGTAAGGCGACTGAGTCGCTGCGGAAGCGCGCCCACGTACGGGGAAGGAGTGGGTTTCCACTCCAGACGGGTCAGCTCGCCACCTTCTCTGCCCCTCATTTTGCATGCATCCCTCCACCTCTCCGTGACGCGTGGCACTCGGAGGAGGAACTAACACGCCACTACTGGATGACTCCGGGCAAATCACTCCTTCCTGGCCTCCGATCTGCCCAAACTTGCTTACCAGCGGCCCGGCACTGCGGCTCCAGGTCCTCAACGCGCGAGCAGCAGCCATCTTAGCCCAGAGACACCGCAGATGAGGATCCGCCTCCGCCCGCGACCTATCGGGAGACGGGAGAGGCGCCGCCCCCTGCGCGGCCAATGGGGAGCGGAGGGCCGAGCCTCCCCGCCCTCGGCCGGCGGCGGCGGGGCCGGGCGCCCCGCGGGGAGGGAAGAGAGCCTGGGGGAGGGGACGGGACGCCCAACCCTAGCTTGGGCCAACAGAGCTGGGCGAGGTTCTGTCGTGTAAATACACGTGCGCCGACGCCAATGTTTTAGACTATGTAATGGAGGAGGTAGAGAGTGTTAAGGGAACAAAGGAGGGACACTTACCTGGAGAAAGTTATATTGATGTAACACCTGAGGGATGAGTAGGAATTATTCGCCCTTCTTCATCTTGTGTAGTAACCGCCTTGATTACAGAAAATGGAACATTTCTACACTTTGTAGCAAGGGTCAGTACCACTAGTTGTTTCGAAAGTTCATACAGGACTACTTTCCAATGACTGGCATTTCTTATTCCCCTTGAGTGTTATTGATTACCAAAATTGGCTTCTCAATTTTTTTTTTCATGAAAGATGAATAAGGCTACCTAATGTCTAAAATAAACATGTCATCACCGTATCTTTCCTTTTTACAGGATGTTGTGAGACTCAGCTGAATAGCATATGCAATACATGTCACAGACATATAGACTTGATTTACTTGTCTCTTTCTCTTTGTGTGTGTGTGTGTTTTGTTTTGTTTTGTTTTTTACTTGTCTCTTGAAATGTCAAATTTAGGTCAAGTAGAACCAATAAAGAAAAGATCAGAACTTTCTTTTAATAGGCAATCTTCCTCAGAGCAACTGGGAAACCAATTTCTGGAAATGTCCAGGATGACATTTGTCTGTTCTTGCCTATTACATATGAATGAAAATCTGTACAAATGTCTAAGGAATTACAGACAAAAAACTGGATCAAGGATAATATTTTAAATCCTCAACAGTGAAGATTGGTGGTTGTGAAACAAAATCTCAGATATTTCACAAATTCGTTATTTTATATTACCCAAGACTTGACCTGGTGTTTCATCCCTGTAATCCGAGCATTTGGGGAGGTGGAGGCAGGACAGCTTGAGCCCAGGAATTGGAGACCAGCCTAAGCAACACAGCAAGACCAGACTGTAGCTCTACAAAAAAAAAAAAAAAAAAAAAATTACCTCCCAGCCCAACGTGGTGCCTACTGGTCTATGCCTGTAGTCCCAGCTACTCAGGAGGTTGCGGCAGTAGGATTGCTTGAGGCCAGGAGTTTGAGGTGGCAGTGAGCTATCATGACACCACTGAACTCTAGCCCAGGCAACAGAGTGAGACTGTCTCAAAAACAAACAAACAAACAAAAAACCCACAAACAAAAACAAAACAAAAAGTCACGTAGATAAGTTACGTTATAATATAACAAAAACTCTTGAACCCACCACCCAACTTAAGGAATAGAACCTGTATAGGCTGGTAAAGGTCACTGTCTGCTCCTGTCCTTCCTCTTTGCCCCAATAATCCTTACCCTGAATTCCATGTTTATCATTCCTTTGTTTCTTTTAGAATTAACCACATATACCTATATGGATCCCTAATAACATATTGTTTACTTTTGCTTGTTTTTGAGTCTTATAAAAATGGTATCAAATTGTATATATCTTTCTGCACCTAGCTATTATGACAATACCACAATTTATTTATCCATACTCTATTCAGTGGATATTTGTATTCTTTCCAGCTCTTTGCTGCTACTGTCAGCGCTGCTGTGAAAATTCTTGATCATTTCTCCTGGTGCATGTTCAAGAGTTTCTTTGGGGTAGTACTTTTCAATTTAATAGCATTGATAGCACCTGGGAATCTTGTTAAAATGCAGATTCTAATTCAGAAGATCTGGGGCCTGGGACTGTGCATTTCTAACAAGCTCCAGGTGATATAAATGCTATTGGTTAGCCAACTGCACTTTGATTAGTAAGGCCAGGATAAATACCTAAAAATGGAATTTTTGAGACAGGGGTTGTGCTTACTTTCAACTTTACCCTAGATCGTGCTAGACTGTTTCCTAACTTGATTGTACAAAATACATAACTAGGCCGGGCGCGGTGGCTCACGCCTGTAATCCTAGCTCTCTGGGAGGCCGAGGCGGGCGGATTGTTTGAGCTCAGGAGTTTGAAACCAGCCTGAGCAAGAGCGAGACCCTGTCTCTACTAAAAATAGAAAGAAATTAATTGGACAACTAAAAATATATAGAAAAAAAAAAATTAGCCGGGCATGGTGGCGCATGCCTGTAGTCCCAGCTACTCGGGAGGCTGAGGCAGGAGGATCGCTTGAGCCCAGGAGTTTGAGGTTGCTGTGAGCTAGGCTGACCCCACGGCACTCACTCTAGCCCAGGCAAAAGAGTGAGACTCTGTCTCAAAAAAAAAAAAAAAAAAAATACATACCTAGCTGTTTTGTGACAGGAGTATCCATTGTTCCTCATTTGATATTATCAGACTTAAATTTTCCCTCCAATTTAGTAATTATAAAATGGTATTTTGATCTTAATTTGAATTTCCCTGATCATAAATAAGGTTGAGCATATGTTTTCATATGTTTGTTAGCCATTCTTTTCTTTTTCTTTTTTAATTTTTTTTAAGCTGGTCAAATGAAGCAGTATTAACATTCTTAAAATGCCTGCTCATGCTTTTCTCCCATTTCCCTCTGATTGTGTGTCCATCTTTTTCTTATTAATTTGTGTAGGGGTTCTATATATATTCTGGATTCTAACCCTTTTCATTTGTATGTGTTGCTAATATTTTCTTCTAGGTGACTTCTCTTTGCTTTTTTGGTGTTTGATTGTTTGTTTGTTTTAGAGACATTCTGGTACTCAGGCTGGAGGGCAGTGACTCAGTCACAGCTCACTGCAGCCTTGAACTCCTGGGCTCAGGTGATTCTCCTGCCTCAGCCACTGAAGTAGCTGGGACTACAGGCATGTGCTACCACATTTTTTAAAAAAATCCTGGTAGGGAGGGCAGAGACTCAGTCACAGCTCACTGCAGCCTCAAACTCCCGGCCTCAAGAGATCCTCTCACCTTGGTCTTTCAAAGTGCTGGTATCTTTGCTTTCTTCAAAGTGTCTTTTGATGTACAGGGTTCTTAATTTTAACGTAGTTGAAAGTATCAATCTTTTTGTTTATGGTCAGTGCTGTTTGTGTTGTAAGAAATCCTCTCAGTCCGAAGGTTCTAAAGGTAGTCTGCTGTATTTCTTTCACATTTGTCTTTCTTTTGCAATTTTAAAAATTGAAATATCAATTACATACCATAATTTTAGCCTTTAAAGTGTATAATTTAGTGAATTTTAGTATATTTGGTATATTATAAAGTTCTATAGAAAAATTTAGTATATTTAGTGTATTATAAAGTTCTACAACCATTACCACTAATTCCAGAACATCTCATCAACCCCCAAAATAAACCCCATACCCATTAGCAATCACTCCCCATTCTATATTCCCTTCCCCATCCCCTGAGAATCACTAATCTACTTTTTGTTTCTGTACATCTGCCTGTTCTGGACATTTCATGTAAATGGGATCATACAATACGTGTGATCTTGTAATGTAAGATCATACAATATGCATGGTCTTTTGTGACTGGCTTCTTCACTTAGCTTCTTTCACTTATATTCTCAAGATTCATCTATGTTACAGCATGTATCAGTACTTCATTTCTTTTTATGGCTTAACGGTACTTCATTGTATAGGTATGCCACATTTTTTTTAATCTACTTATCAGATGATAAACATTGTTAAAAAAATGAATAAAAATGAAGGCCACCATTTAGATACCTCAAGGCCAACTGCACACAGCCATGTAACCCAAACTTAATTCATCCTGATTTCCCCTAAACTCTAGCCCTAAACATAAACAAAATAAAAATATAAGCTTTTTGCCCTTATCACATGATTCATTGCAATTAAACCAATCAGCTATAGATAAATCAGCTTAAATAGCTCTACTTGCCTTAAAAAAAAAAAAGCATGACAGCCAATCATGAAAAAAGTCAAAATACTTCCTTCTTTATCCTCTATAAATTGTGCTGTAAAATTGAGACTTTGTGCCATTTTTTGATTTGAGGTCTCCCAGTTTGCAAACTGTTCTTTTGTATGCACAATGAACTCTTAAAATTATAACTTGGTCTAATTTTATTTTTGACATTTGTGTTGTTTCAACTTTTTGCTACCACGAATAATGTTCCCATGAATATTCATATATTAATACAAGCTTTTGTGTGGACATGTGTTTTCATTTCTCTTGGGTATATTCCTAGGAGTAGAATTGCTAGGTCACATGGTAATGCAATATTTAACTTCTTGAGGAACTGCCAGAAGGTTTTCAAAAGGGGCTGAACCATTTTACCTTTGTACTAGCAGCAGTGTATGAAGGTTCTTGTTTCCCCACATTCTAATCAACACTTGTTATTGTCTGTATTTTTTTATTATAGCCATCCTAGTGGGTGTGAAGTGGTATTTCATAGTGATTTTGATTTGCACTTCCCTAATGACTAATGACTCTAAACATCTTTTTAGCTGCTTATTGGTGGTTTATATAGCTTCTGTGGAAAAATGTCTGTTCAAATCCTTTGCCCGTTTTTTAATTGAGTTGTCTTTTTATTCTTCAATTTTTTAATGTTATTTTTTCTTTTTTTTTTATTTTAGCATATTAGGGGGGTACAAATGTTTAGGTTACATATATTGTCTTTGGCCCACCAGACTCAGAGCTCCAAGCGTGCCCATCCCCCAGACGGTGCGCACTGCACCCATTAAGTGTGAATATACCCATCCTCTCCTCCTCACTCCCACCTGCCCTTACTCTTAAATTTTTAAGAGTTCTTTATGTATTCTGGATACTAAACTCTTATCAAATACATGATTTATAAATATTTTCTCCCATTTTGCGGTGTGTCTTTTCACTTTCTTGGTAATATCCTTCGAAGCATAAAATTTTTAATTTTAATTAAATTGAAGTTCAATTTCAC